TACTTTTTTGGCTTGCCGCGGGCTATGCTTGCAGTAAATAGCAAATATGGGCACGTAAATGTAAACGAGTTATAGAAGAAGAGAAAAGAGAAGATTTTTAACGGTTTTTTCGATATATCTCGAAAAGTAACAAAGCAATCGATACTTTCAAAAAATCTGTCGATAGATCTTTTTAAAACCTACAACTTTCTCATTTAAAATTTTTCAATCCGTGCTATATTTTTTTAGTTATTTTAGAAAAACCGTTTTTTTCAACTTTGCGATTTTTTTTAACCATGTTCGCCATATTGGATCGAGTTTAAAGAACAAGAAACTCAATTTAAAATTTAATTTTCTATACGGTCATATTTTTTTTGTCCAGGTAATAATTTCTGTAAGCATTTCTCTATAATGCTTGGACTATTTCAGATTTTCGCGAGAAATGAAGTTAACCCGGTTTGGCCATGATTATCAAGTGGCTTTACTCTATCTCCTGGCGTGTGGCGGACGCGGCGACGACTACCCCCGAGGAGTAAAACCCCATTCACAATCAATTCGCGGGCGAAGTCTGACTTGGCCACGCGTGCTTACCTTTCGCATTTCAATGTAGCCGTTCAGAATAAAATCTCGAGCTGGCAAACGAGTTGAAGTGCGCGCGAAACTTCGCAAGCTGCAAACTTTGACATCCGTGCCGACTTCCATGCCGGTTACAGGACATACGCAATACGATTGATTTAATAAAATGACAACATAATTTTAATTTTATGGATTTTTGAGATTAGTTTAACCATTTTGTTGATTAACCACGATGGAAGAATGGAAAACTCGTTATCCCCTCATTTACTGGTAACAATGTTTTTGTTGTTACTTAAAAGAAAGACAGCTATTGTAGCAATTCGAGCAAAAAAATTCCATTCAAAGAAGACTTCTGGGTCTTGGGGAAGTAAGACAAATTCTAACGGCGCGGAGAAATCATGAATTTTATGAAAATTAAAAATCTTCGTGAAGTTCGTTTCAGTAAGCCCAACATTTTTTTTTTCAATTTTATAGTCCGTCAGATTTATCCTAGTTTAGCCGGAGAAGAAAGAAGCGAGAAGACAAGAAGAGCGCCAGAAGAGACCCACTTACGGTCGGGGTTGACAACGGATGGGGCCCACCTTCACGAGGCTGTCCAGGCCTACAGTGATGAGGCAGGACAAGGAAGGATAGTCAACCTCTGTCCCAAATCATTTAGACCGCCAACATCAACAAAAAGAACGGCGGGTAAGCATTTTCATAGAGGTGTAACCCAACTCTATCTTCTGACGCAAGTAAATTCAAGCTAACTATATAGACATGTACGATACTTTAACAAATACCGGTAATGGCGTAACGTATTAATGAAAAATTACCAGTACACAAAAAACTGGTACANAGAACGGCGGGTAAGCATTTTCATAGAGGTGTAACCCAACTCTATCTTCTGACGCAAGTAAATTCAAGCTAACTATATAGACATGTACGATACTTTAACAAATACCGGTAATGGCGTAACGTATTAATGAAAAATTACCAGTACACAAAAAACTGGTACATATATGATTACTGATTAGGCATATTTATTCAAAGATTAAAAAAAAACAGCATATTTATACAATAAACAGAAAATATAACATAAACCTTTCAAATAGTATTTTTTAAACGGAGGCGTGTTGTATGGAAACACAAAACACGGCATAAAAAGGGTAAATTAAATCGCAACAGATTTCTGATTTGGATGCGGTCGGAAAATTCTGCGTTTTAGATTTTTTTACATTAAAAAAAGTCACGCCGCCATCGTTCAAAGACTGTATATCAACCATAATTTCATGCAACTGTCTGGACTGCAATTGCTATAGGCACACAAATTAGTTATTTACCGCTAGATTATAACGTCGAGTTTATAAGCTGCTAATAGCTTTAAATCTACTGATTTTAGGTCACTTTTTTTGGAAAGTTCTGGTAATCAGCTGAGTTCCTAGCGGGCAGCCGACCAGAGCACACGTGTTTTGTGAAAGTGTAGTGCAAGGAGCAAATTCTACCTGCCTTTATTAAGGCTACCTGGAAAGAATCCCTTTCTTTCCTTTTAATCACCGACCTAATCCCCGGCTTAAGCATAGACGCCGTCGGCATCTTTGTTACAGCACCTGTGCCGGGGTTATGCCCAGGTAAGTTTTTACTTATTTATCAGTTATTTGCATTACTTTAGAATACATTTCTTTAAAATTGCGACCCCCGACAAACAATATACCAGACAGACAAATACACCAAAAGACACGTACGCCCCCGTGAGGGGGCATCCCCACACGACTAACACTTACACACCTTCCC